AAGCAGCTGCTTTCATCTCAGATGATAATCCCAGGGTCCTGGGAACAAGTCCTGCATGGGGCTCCTTGTTCAGCAGGGAGCCTGCTTCTCCCTCTCCCACTTCCCCTGCTTGTGTTCCCTCTCTTGCTGTGTCTCTCTCTGTCAAATAAATAAATAAAAATCTTAAAAAAAAAGTCACTGGGTAGCATACAATGGAACTTATCAATTTTCAGGATCTTGAAGCCACATGGGTGAAAAGCATAAATAACTTCAAAGAATGAAGTTAACTGAAATAAATTTATGGCTAATGACTCCATCAAAAGTAAGAAATGTTCACAGAATGTCTCAAATGTGGTTGAAGTAGCTATCGTAGGTAGCTATCACAGACAGGTACTTCATAGGTATCATAAGTGCAGCAACCCACTTTTACAAAACCTCATGAACAATTCCGAGGGGGAAAAGAAGAACTGAGACAAGAAAGGGACACAGAAATTTCTGTCATTATCAAGGACTGGAAAAGAGACTAAATGGGTTATCACTCTGATCCAACAGGACATTTCTGATGGTCTTCTTTTCAATTACTCCACTAACTCACTTATCTGATACTGATTGTGCACAAGGCAGTATAACAATTGAACAACACCTAAGACAGTGTTTGACAGCTTCTAAGACATTCCATTTTTTCTATTTATTTGTACTAAACAACTCTGAGATGGGCAGACCACCACTGTTTTCATTTTCCTCCTTACAGCATCTGTCTATAATTGTTGTGCTTGTCTTTATCATTTTACTCAAAATGCACTCTGGTTACCATTGATCTTTCCTTGGGTAAATACTGTGGCTTTACAAAAATGTTTTCAATTCATCTTGACCTCTCTATGAACATAGAAGTAATCACTAGGGCATGATTGTCCCAATTTTCATTCTACTCTTTTTTCTAATTCCTTTGGTTAGAGGTTGGGGTTCTAGTCCTTTTTTTGCCACTAAGGCTGGTGTGATCTTGGACAAGCCTCTTGTGTCCTACAACCGATATGTGTGAAGCCACTCTGTACATTGCAAAGCATTTAAAAATATGATTATTGAAGTAGATGATCTCTAAATTTCCCTCAAGGTCTAAAATTTTTAGTTTATATTTTTAGTGAATTCATGTGATCCAAGAATTGCATTTTGGCACATTTTAGAAGTCTCCTTCCATTACACCAAAGCTGCTGCTGATTCAATAAGTACAGAATGATTTAATAGTAGCACCAAAAACAGTTAATTCTTCAGTTGCTGAGGTTGAAAATTACCAGAAATGATGCATGATTTTAAGGAAAAGACTGAGTCATAGTCAACACCTAAAAACTTTATTTTCTATGTTAACCACCCCCTAACTTTTGCCCTTCTAAAATCTGACAAATTTAAATCTTTTTTTTTTTTGACAAATTTAAATCTTAAGATGGAAGCAACTGAAATCACATGGTATGCTCTCACACAGCACTTTTTTTTAAAGATTCTTATTTATTTATTTGACAGGGAGAGACACAGCGAGAGAGAGAACATAAGCAGGGGGAGTGGGAGAGGGAGAAGCAGGCTTTTCACGGAGCAGAGAGCCTGATGCGGGGCTCGCTCCCAGGACCCTGGGATCATGACCTGAGCTGAAGGCAGACGCTTAACATCTGAGCCACCCAGGCGCCCCCTCATACAGCGTTTTGGGGCATTTTGCTGGATATTGTCAGTGTTGGAATAGTGACTACAACAGGCAGGAAACAAATGAGGAGGTTCATCACATATACACATAAAATCATCGTCAAATGTCAGAGTTGGAAGGACTTCTAAAACTCATTTAGACTGGTGGGTCCTGGAGTGTTTGATTTCAAAAGCTTATAAAAGTTCAAAATAAACAGCAACAACAAGAGGAGGGCAAACGTAAAAATGTGTTTTTAACTTTGACAAATAAGGATACCAACAAAAGAACAAAACAACCATCTTCCATCAGCACCATTTTATAAAAAAGGTCACTTTAATGACATGTGTAGGACGATAAAATCTCAGAATAAAGTACAATTTGAAATTAAATAAATGAAGGGGCACCGGGGTGGCTCAGTTGTTAACCATCTGCCTTCAGCTCAGGCCATGATCCTAGGGTCCTGGGATCGAGCCCCACATCGAGCTCCCTGCTCATCTAGGAGCCTGCTTCTCCCTCTCTCCCTGACTCTCCCTCTGCCCCTCCCTCTGCTTGTGCTCTCTGTCAAATAAATAAATAAAATCTCAAAAAAAAAAAAAGAAATTAATGAAGAAAAATGCATTATACTGCTCTTATTTTTCTAAAATCTTTATGGAAAACTGTGAGACTTGCCCCTGTCCATACACAGACCTTTGGGAATCCCTAATCTAGTCCATTCCATGCACACCTTTACGCCCCCATCCCATCTCCCACAATGCAGCAATTGTATCCTCACCACACCAAAAAATCCCTTTAAATGTATCCCCCACCCACTGTGGGGAACTCCTCAAGCTGTGGAATCCATTAAATTTTGGAGTCTGTGGTAGAAAATCAGCAGAAGAGCTGCTGTCTCTGGGAACTTCAAGATGCTTACACTTGGCTTTTTTTTTTTAAGACCAGAATCTAACTGCAGAGAATTTTAAGTAGGCCAAACGTGCCTTAGAGTCACTAAACGAAAATGTCTAATAGTGCTGATTTGGGAGTCAGGCAGCCTGGGTTTTGATGGTGCATCAAAACTCCATTCTAAACCTTAGGGGATCTGTTTTCACATTCAACACATCTGGATTAGAGCTTTATGAATAGAAGTATTTAAATCGGAATTAGAGTAACATGGAGGAATTTTAGTTAAGATTATCTTTCGGGCTGAATTCCATTACTAATTACTTGATCAGCTTTCAAAGTTGTAGTTAAGTCTACATTTTTTTCCATTTCCATTTTAATGAAATTATTTTGAGAGATTCCGTTTAAATTTTTACAACTGAGGTTTGATTCATACTACAGATGATAGCATCAACTACAGAGCTTTCTTTTGTGATCACTACTACCAAGCTGTTTCCTCAGGTCAAATTTTGTCACCTAAAATGTGGCCAAGATTTGATTTTTTAAATCAATTTTTAGTAAAAAAAATTACTGTATAAAGGTTTACAACAACTTTAACGTTTACTTCTTTAAACGTTATCGATTTATTTTGTAATAGTTATTTCCATCCTGTGTTTTTTGGGTCAGCACTGCAGTTTTCAACATGACCAAGACATGATTATGGAGGGTTTTTTGCGGGGGGTGGGGTGGGTGGAATAAATAACCTCTACGGTGCAGTTTTTTCAGGGTTGTAAATTCTATTCTCTGTTGACTCATCCGCCAATAAAATTATGAATCGGGTATTAGGGTTTTTTCCCCCTGGGGACCAAATGTATCAGTGGAGCAACAACACAAAGGCATAAGATAATTCTGCTTTCCCTCTTTTCCCTTCCCGTAAAACGAGATTCTCCAACACTCCCTAGAGCGCAGAATCCTAATTCTTAAGACTTCATCAGTTACACTCTGCTAAAACCCGGAGCCCTGGCCAAACCCAGCCCGGCCAGGGCTGCTTTTCTCTTCCTCTCCACCAGAGGCGATAGCCTCTCGCAAAACAGAATTGGGCTGGAACAGGCCGGTCTGAGGGAGTGGCCCAGGGAAAGATCAAAGGTTAAAAATCGCCTCAAAGAGCAAAGGTCAAAACTCTCAAGGAAGCCAGAAGTTCCCATCCTCCACGAAGAATGAAGGTGACTCCGCCCTAACATGCTCTCGGGGCCCGATGTCGCGCGGCCTTTCAGAGACCAGGCGGGTCCGACGTGACTAACAGGTAGCTTGATCCGAACAGCGAACAACCGGAAATGGAAGTGAGCCCCGGGCGGGGGTGAGGAGAGGCCACCGCACGCCTGCGCAATCAGCAGGGTTACAGTACGCATGCGTATTTGGGCGATGACGGGGTGACGCTCGGAGCGTGGGCCGCGACTCTCACGGATCCGGTTCCGCCCTCCCTCTCGTTGCCGACCCTCCGGGGCTAGCGCCCGAGATCCCTTTCCCAGAGTGCTCTGCGCCGTGAAGAAGCGGCTCCCGGGGACTGGGGGCATTTTGTGTTGGCTGGTGCCGGAGTAACAAGATGGCGGCGTCGGCGGAGTGACAGGGGTCCCTCTGGGCGGGAGCCGGCGGCAGTGGTGGCAGCGGTATCGCCGCCCTAAACCACCGCGCCCCTTTTCCAGCCCGCGACGTCGCCGTGAAAGCGAGCCAGCGGCGGCCGCCCAAAAACAAGTGGCCCAGCCTTGTAACCGAGGGAACCCACTCACAAACTGCGGCCTGGCGAAAAAAAGCCTGATTGAGCGGCGGTGATCAGGTTCCCTTCGGCCGATTCTGGGCCCTGTAACGCCTTGAAAGAGCCACCGTTTTTCGTTTCCTGCCGCCCCCCTCCGCAGCCTTGTTCCGCGGACGAGCCCCTGAGGCCTCAGTCCTCCCCTCAGAGGTGTCGGGGCTTGGCCCCAGCCTCCATCTAAATCTCTCAGGATGGCGAGCAGCAGCGGCTCCAAGGCCGAATTCATTGTCGGAGGAAAATATAAACTGGTACGGAAGATCGGGTCTGGCTCCTTCGGGGACATTTATTTGGCGATCAACATTACCAACGGCGAGGTAATCACCCGGGGTGGGGTTCACGACCACGCTGCGCCAGTCCTCACCCCCTGCCCCAATCCCCAAAGTGCTGGGGCTTTTCCCTATCACAGGCACGTACTGGGGAGGGGAGTCCAGAGAGGGAGCCAGTTTCCCTGGCTTTAGGAGCCTCCCCCGCTCTCTTTCCCTAAAAGGCAAAGAACCCGATAGAAGGGTTGGGAGAACCTATGAAGTTTCCCAGCTTGTTAAAAATGTACCTTAATCGAACTTTTTAAGCTGTCGTTTTAAGGCGAGATCGGCAAAATCGTATTTCTCTAATCCCCATGTTTCCCCCACTATATGGATTTATTCTACTGGGGTTCTTGCTTTCGATCGTCAGTTTCCTTCAAAATCTCTCATTACGTTTTCTGGATGAATCATTTTCCTGCACCTTCGAGGACGTGCCGATTTCGTCATTACCCCCTGAAGAGGCCTTTGAGGCTGGTTGCCTCGTTTTATAATTACAAAGAGAGCTTTCTCTTCTGAGCCTCTCACTTCACCTTCTAGTCTCGAGTTGGAGCTTTGCTAATGTCTCCCCTCCTCTCCCAAGTGACATTGAATTCTTAGGGATGTTGATGCCATCATCCCCTCTCTCCCCTGCAGGAAGTGGCAGTGAAGCTAGAATCTCAGAAGGCCAGGCATCCCCAGTTGCTGTACGAGAGCAAACTCTATAAGATTCTTCAAGGTGGGGTGGGCATCCCCCACATACGGTAAGACCCCGTGAGCAAACAGGCGGTGCGCCGAGGGAAGTACGGCATGAGGGAAATGGGTAGAGGAAGGCAATAGCACCAGCTGATTCGGGCCTTGGTATCTGAGTTACCTGGGTTTACTATAGCCGGTGGTTTCCTGAGAACCGTAAGACACCACAGTCACTGAGTAAATTTTTAGTTTGCCAACTTCGTTTAGAATTTCAGTTTGTTACACTGCTCCATTTAGCTTCCCTCATTCTTCTCTCGAGGCTTTCATTTGCAGTTAAGTTAGGCGAGTCATCTTTGATCCCTACGCGGCTTGTCTGCTGCTTTCTTTACGCCGACACCTCTGATGTTCTTAGGTTTATCCAGTGAAGTGGATTTGAAGGTGCCAAGTGACCGGGTTCGGCCAGTTCGGGTTGCTATTGGAGTTGGCTTGGGAAATGGCTGCTCTTTTGTTGTGTTTTTGTTCCAACATGTCTTCCTCCTCCGCTTAGAAAATGGCGGAACGACGTGACTCAACCGCATATTCCTGCCCTTTCCTAGGCTTGGGTTCACAAGTTACTCTTCCTTGCTTCCCCCTTTAGCAGCTCTGAGTGGATTAAACCTTTGAAAAGCCAAGAATAAAGGTGCGGGCGGCGGTGGGGTTCAAGGAAGGAGATGGCATAATGACAGTCTGTTTGTGATCCCTGCAGCAGATGCGACATGAAATGAAATTATACTATGCAAAATCCCTCACAGTCCCTTTGTAAGTGTTAATTATTCTTTCATGAAGGATAATGTTGGCTACATTTCAGCTTGTGTACTAAATTTTGTAATGGCAAAGGCAGTCTGACCACTACTGTGTTGAAATTGACTCAAATCAGTTGTATTAAAAAGAAAGGTTAATCTCGTAACCACAGTGTGATGAGTAACTTTAACCTGTTGAGTTACTTGATCGGTAACTCCTCACATCAGGGAAATTGTGGCCTTTTGGGGGGATGGGATATTGGTGAAGGCAAACAGCAATAGTAATCAGGATAAAAGATGACCACATAAAGACATTGGATATTTTAAATGGTTAACTTTAAAGGTTGTGTTTGACTTTGAGATTAAAAAGCATCTTCCTGGAGTAGAGGCTAAAATGTAGTGTAAAGCCAAGCCATGTTTCAACACGTAAAAATAACATTTGTAAAAAAGAACCAGAGACAGTTAAGAATTAAGTGGAGTGATAGTTAACGTAATTTCTTTTTCTATTCCAGTTTATATTCCTTAAATCTTGAATTAAGTACTGAATTGCATACATTAATTCAGCTGTGGAAGCAACCCAAGTAATACTATCCTTAAAAAAAATCTCCAGTGCTGATAGATGTTTTTAACGGAGAAGTTGAATGATAAAATATTCTCTTGGTTGTGAGAGATAAATTATTTAGAAGAAACTTCCAGGTTTATTTTGTAAGGTAGATTAATGTGAAATCCAAGATGATGGGAGATTTTAAATGATTCCTATCCGCCCCGCCCTCCAAAAACCTCCTGCTGGGAAAATGAATGTTACTCTGGAAGAATGAAAAAAAATTTTTTTAAAGAATGAAAGTCTTTATTAAAATGTCTAGCTTTTTATTTCCTCAAAATAAAAAGTCCATTGCATTAGCCAAAAAATTTAAAACGGCTTTCCTTTTGCCTTTAAACATATCTCTCCACCCCTGGCCCCCCCGATTTGCTTTCTGTACTGTAGTTTTTCTTAGAATTACACATAAAATGCAATCATACAGTATGAGGTCATTTGTGTCTGACTTCTCTCACCATAATGCTTTTGAGATTCATCCATGTTGGGAGGTTTTAGAAATTTCACAAATTATGTTGAATTTAATGTATTAGAAATAATTTTCAAAAAGCATTAAGCATCTGGCATTTTCATTGCTAAACCCTTTTATCTGGTAGCTTTTATTTAAAGGCAGTGCTGATAACAGACCAACAAGAGCCATAGGTAATATACTGAATAAGCACATGAATAAATGAAATTAACTTGTGAGCCCGGAATAACAGGCATCTATTATAAGATGTTGAGTGCAGAGAGTTGTAGTTGTTAACTGGGTGGAGCTAAAGAGAGATTAACCTGGCTTTCAAATTAACGCTTCCTGGGAGAAGAGATGGGATTTCAGGATCCGGATGTAAGGAAGAAAGCTTGGTTGAACTGGTTGGGGAGGGCATCCAAGAATACAGTGTGGCTTCTGGGAGTAGTCTCTAATCAGAAGGTAGTAATTGGATGAGGGTGGGGAAAGAGTAAATTTGTTTTAGGAGTGGTGGAGTCTGGTACATAGAAACAATAGTGGTTCATTGGTTGTAAAGTGTGAGAGAACTGTTTTTCTACTGAAGTGAAAAGGGTAGAAAGACTTTACATAAGCATTCTTTATTTGGGTGGCAACGTCTTCCCATCCCCTCAGTTTGTTCCCCACTATTTCCACATCACCTATATATAGCATACAGGTAAATATTTGGTAAATATTGAACTATTTTGACTTTAGTTTATTGAGATTTAATGAAGCAGTCTATGTGTTATCCATTGTTTTAGATGGATGTAAATATATTTAGATTTGGGATGCCTGGCTGGCTCAGTTGGTAGAGCATGCAGCTCTTGATCTTGGGGTCATGAGTTCAAGCCCCATGTTGGGTGAAGAGATTACTTTTAAAAAACAATTTGGATTTTGCTGTAATTACACTTAATTCCATCTTCTCCCCTGCACTCCAAACCCCTTGAATTTACTAAGATACTTTCGGATATCCTAAAACAAGGGCCGAAAATGATCTAGCCCACATAGCCGACCTGACTCATTTTTACTTGGTAAGGGATCTGTTGTTAATGCAGAAGCATGGCATTCAGGGTAAAGAGCGGAATGAGGTAGGGTTTAGTCTCCATGTTTTTAAGAAACTAGGGTCATTCTTTAGTTAAGAAACTGAAATCGTTAATTGACTTCTGGAAGCTCATTAAAAATTATTTCTGTTACAATCTTCTTTATCTTTGTGGTACTCAGTTTGAATCGAAATAATGTGATCTCTAAAGAAGCACTTATGATACCAAGCTCTAGGTCTATCATGTGGTATTGACAATGATCTTGGGTCAGTCAGTCCTTTAACCTCTTTGGGTCTATCAGTTAGTTTGCTCATCTGTGAAATGCAAAGAGGATTTTACCATGTTAGTAATTTTCTAATTCTTTTGGAATAGGAAAGAAGAATACTGGACAGAAAAGTTTAGGGTTTCCTACTCTTCTAGAAAAAGTTTTGCATACTGAGCTTTCAGGTAGGGTTTTATTTGAACAGAGTTCCCTGGTTAAATAAGTCACCTGCCTCGTTGGATCTTGGAACTTCTAGCTCTGAAATTTTGAGACTTCTTTTTGGATGATGGTAGCTAGAAAGCATTTCATCACAGTTTGATGTTAGGTCTAGATCTTATCTGACTCTTAGTACAGAGACCCCTCTCAAGACTCTTAAAAATGCCATCTGCATCAGATAAACTGTCAGTTACCATTTAAAAGGAAGTAAATTAATGGAATATATTTTTATAGGGAAATGAATAGAGAAGATGGGAGGGGCATGGGAGAATTGTTGCCTTGTTTTCAACCACTTTTTTGCCCTCTCTGAATGGCAAGTATTACAGAAGATATTTATAAAGTACTAGTTAATCCTTACTCTTCAGTGTTAAAAGCAGCTTAAATTTTAATCTTAGCTTTTTGGCACTGAGCATATGTCTTGCAAATAAGTTCTAATGCTGTTATCAGAGAACAAAGATGACATCTGCACTGGATACGTCTTTATTTATTACAGATTACTGGGTGCATGAGAAATGTGATTTTTAACTCGTAGAAACTGAATCTCTCTATATATACTACTATATATACATACGTATTATATGCATACAGAGTATACTAAAGGTGCTTTATATCGGTTTATAATGGATTTCTAGTTGCGGAATAATGTAATGATGCTTAAGTAGCATTTGTGAGCTAAATGAAACCTGAATACAGCCTAATATCTCACAAATTAGATTACTGAGTCTCTGAAGGGTTACTAGAGTCTCCTAACTCCTAATTTTTCTGAGCCATTTCCACCTTTATGTCAAGGTCAGCATGCCTGCTCACAAACCCCACACCTTTTCATTTGATGCTACAGAGCCATACTATGCCTCCTTCACTTTATGGCATTTGGCCTCATTCAGAGAAAGTGAAAACCTCTTCTATAAATGTAAGTAACTTTATTTGACAGAGAGAGAGCAAGAGCAGGAGCACAAGCAGGGGGAGTGGGAGAGGGAGAGCAGGCTTCCTGCAGAGCAGGGAGCCCGATGAAGGGCTCGATCCCAGGACTCTGGGATCGTGACCTGAGCCGAAGGCAGACGCTTAACAACTGAGCCACCCAGGTGCCCCATAAGTAACTTACTGTTTGTGTTATTATTTAACTAGATGCTTATAAATTTTTTTTTTTAAAGATTTTACTTGTTTATTTGACAGGGAGAGACACAGCGAGAGAGGGAACACAAGCAGGGGGAGTAGGAGAAGGAGAAGCAGGCTTCCCATTGAGCAGGGAGCCTGATGTGGGGTTCGATCCCAGGACCCTGGGATCATGACCTGAGCCGAAGGCAGACGCTTAACCATCTGAGCCACCCAGGCGCCCCAATAAATCTTTTTTTTAAAATAAAACAATGAAATTACTTCTTCCATGAAATCTTTTTTATGACATAAGATAATATAGGTAAGAATACTACTATACAAAATGCCATATAAATGTTAAAAGTAATTATTATCTTAGCATTGGAAAATCAATCAGGGTAGATGTCATCTGAAAACTCAGTATCTTTAAATTGATTCAAAGAAAGGTTCTGAGGCCTTTAGATTAGCCTAGAATATTTCATTTCTGTTTTCTGAGATACATCTTAGCCGGCGGTGACCTTGTCAAAAGTAATCATCTACATAAAGAGATCAGTTGTGGTACTGTCATAGTTATTACACTTCTCTTATTTTTGGCTTTGGACAAGAATTGTGACGTTCCTGT